TCTTTCCCTTTGTTTAAGATACTCTGCAGTACATGAAGCATGGTTCTAATATGACACATGGCTTCCTTTTTTGTCAGACTCTGTGAAGGTGATACATTATGCCATACAAAAATATGTGTGTTCCTAAAACACAGTTCAAATATACAGGAACCTCTTCCAAGACAAGCTTGTTTTCTTGAGGACTGTCTCCCTAGAAGCAGCAATTCACCATACCCACCATTTCAGTGTGGGCATAACAGAAACAATCTTCATTTCCTCAATTAATACTGTTTGATATGTATAGTTTAATTACTCTAAACCCCTTCTTGAAATTTTTATTACTGTTCTCATATAAACAGCACTTTTGAGTATTGTATTTGGTTACTATGTTTACTATATTTGCTAAATTCTCCCAAAGCCCAGGGGAGAGCCTTGTTTGAATGCAGCCAGCTAGGCAGGGTCACCATGATGGGTACAAAGCTGTGCTCTAGCTCAGCTTATGTTCCCAGTATTAAAAAACCACAAATTTCATTACAGATTGGTAAGACATATGATGGCCAAATGAACAGAGTTCACTCTCAGACTCCAAAAAAAGAGTTCAGTGCAGCTAGCCCTTTAATTGATGAAAACTGTTTTTAAAAGCTCTAGCCTTGATACTCATTTACATCAAGTACAGGGCTGACTTCTTCCACCATAAATGTAAAGTATACACATACCTGCCCTTCTGGGTTCAGTTACATCAATATTCATAAGCAATTTCTGCTCCAGGGTCTTTTTAAGGTCTTTTCCATACATTTTTCTACATTTATTTTGTTCAAAATCAATGACAAACATCTAGCTTAAATTGCTGTGATCTGAAATAGCAGTGACTATTTTTATGACTATTGGTGATCCTAACTGTTACTAAGGAAGCTCCCTATCTATTTTAATTCTGGTCATTCTTCAAAGCTTGGCATGTACAGTTATGAGCTGGCAGAGTTTAATGTGGAAAATGCATAAGATGATATATAAATTTAAGAATATGGAAAAAAGTGGTTGGGGGCACAGAGATTCACTCAAATTGTCAAAAAAATAAATAAAAGACTAAAGTAGGGTTACTTGCATATGCTGTGATGAGTAAGAAGAAAATAAACAACTCACATGACAAATGAGAACACTTGCCTCCTGGAAAACAAAATTCTTGAAATCTCTTTGGTTCTACAGCACCACTTTGCCTGGACTATATTAAAGCTGAACACTAAAAAGCATACAATATCAGAGCTTACTATTAGAACAGCCACAGCAGAAATGGCAAGGAGTGAAAATGAAGTCTATGGAATATAATTATGAAATGATGTAACTAAACAGTGCTTAAGGACAAAGCTATAATAATAGCAAAAAGCTATTTTATTTATACCCGCTGCATTTAATCACAAACTGCATTTCCAGGGGAAACCCAAATTTTCCTGGCACTGGAAACAAACTTCTTCCAGCACTACTGAAACACTTTGGTTGGTCTAGAGGAGGATTATTTTTGTGAGACCTGCCAGTTCTGCACTTTTTCTGATAAGATATTTTTTCTGTAAGAGAAGTATGTAGCCTTGTTTCTGGACAAAATCTTGAGATTTTCCTCAGAATGCTTTCATCCTGAGGAAATGTGGAGCATTAAAATACATTCAACACTTTGCAGTGATGCTTTTCAGAAATGAAACTCCCACGTTTTAAGGTCCAGTTAGTACATATGGTAATTTTGTAAGAGCTGCAGCTCAAGTCAGAACAACTGTATCTTCCCTCTCTGTATTTATTTTAACAAGCTTTCCTTTTCCAAACTGATTTGATAGGAATGAATGCCTAACTTTTCTTGTTGCAGAGTAGTACAGAGGGAAGGCAAAGAAATATGAAGGGGAACAGAAACCATTTTCACATGCTACTACTCACAATATGAAGAAGCTGTACCTATTCAGCTATAAAATACATATTTTCTGAGCATGAACAGTTGGAAACAGCAAGTTGGAAAGACAGAATAGTGTCTACCACAGTACAACAAACATCAGTAAATACCATAGACCTAGGAATCCAGGGAAAAAAAACCAACTTGTTAAATGAAACAGCAAAAAGAAATCTAAATTTCCTACACCGCTAGTTTTTCCTTCAGTGTCAAATTCTAACAGGGTAGGAACGTACAATAAACACATTGAAATGTAACCCAGAGATATTTTTGAAATGCTGCTTAGCTTTATCTAACCTTAAATTCTTTACCTATATTGCACTAACTTCTGTATTTGTAGCATGGGAAAAAATGAAGTCCCAATTTACTATTACAGTAGAAAATATGATTGCACATGGTTCCCATTACCATCCTCCAACAGGCAACACCTACCAACACCAGGACAAAATAACTAGGAAGATTTTGCACTATAGAAAAAGCTTCTTTTTTTTCAAAGAAAAAACGATTTTCTTCTATTGAAAATAATTCCAGCTCATCATTTTTATTAATTTTTTAATCATATTCACCAAAAAAAATTAAAAAAAAACCAAAACAAAACAAAGTTAATTTAAAGATAATTCATACCATTCCCACACAGTCTACTGTACAGAATTCTGCAGAAAATTACAATGGCTTCTTACATAACATAGAAGGGTACCTGCAGTTGCTACCTCTAGGAATAAGCACATGAAAAAAATTAATTAAAGGTGATATTGGGCAAAACTGGAAAAACATAGGCACATGGATTGAAATGTATGGTAAAATTGAGACAGTTTAATACAAAACAGTCCCTGCCACATTAATATTTATTCCTTAAATTGTTAAGTAATAGATTGCGTGACGAAAATGCCAAGTACCTAGTGACAGGGCAGAGTTCACTGAGCAGATGGATAAAGATGACCAAGAAAGCTGTAGAGCTGCATGAGGAGCTTGCTCACCCCTCTGCTCCCCAGCTCTGCCTTCCCTGTGACCACCGCCCCAACACTGGGTGAGGATCACGTGGTGTACTTTCTGCTGGCCCTGCTAGGAGCTTGGCTGCTTCATTGGCTATGTCTTACTTTCAACCCACAGGTCTCCTCTCCTTTTCCTGATGGCCCTTCTGGGCTGGGGCAGGGTGTCTGGGTGACAGGGAACAGCTGTTGTTTAGCCCTGGGTGGAAAGGACCTGCAACGACCACACAGAGTCCCTCCTCTGCTGTGGGCAGGGACATCTTCAACGTGGCCAGGCTGCTCCAAGCCCCAGCTGGCCTGGCTTTGAACACCTCCAGGGAGGGGACACTCACCCCCTCTGTGGGCAGTGTGCTCCAGGGTCTCACGGGACTCACAAGCAGAGGCAGCCCCCCCCGCGCCGCCCCCCCGTCCCCTTTCTCTCCGGCGGGCGTTGCCCCCGGGTGTGTCCTGGCCCGGGGAGACCCAGAGGGGACACAGGAGTCCAGGCAGAGCTGCCAAAAGACAAAAGCATTTTCACTGCTCCTTTCTTGGTTTATTGGGGTTTTAAAATTCTCCTGTTGCCCAGTATAGAAAAGAACTCCAGAAGCAGCTTGAAGGGGCCTTGATGCTGAAAGGCAGCACTTCTTAAGAGCAGACCTGGGGTCTTCTGCTTCTCCAGAGGAATGGCTGCCTCTGACGGCTCTTCTTATCTCTTGCTGCTCTCTCTGTATTGCTGTGTAGGGTCTGCCTTCATCTCCAAGCTGTTGTTGGGCAGCCTTCTCATCCTCAGGCTGAAGAAGGTGCACCGCCAGAGCTTGGTGGCCCTCTGAGGGAGTTCTGGCGCAGCAGCCCCTTGGAGGAAGCCATGTTGTCTGGTGCCCTTTTCTTGGGGCTCAGAGCAGAGGAGATGGCAGCCCTTCAACAGGGGTGGGGGCAGGGGAGTGGGTGAAGGATGGGAGAGAAGGGCTCCCAAGACTCCAGCTGTGCACAGAGCAGTGGTGGATGCCAGGGAGATGGAGTCGGTGGGCAGGCACAGAGGAGAGGCTGCCCGGCTGGGGTCCCTTGCAGCGGCTGGGCCAACAGCTGTGGTTTGGCCCCTTGCTCCTGCAGCTCCCTTTTACTGTTAGTGTGGAGGGGAGCTCTGGCACAATGGCATGGTCCCTGCAGAGCCAGCACTGAGATGGATCCACCTCCATGAGCTCTGCCGCATTGCCATGTGGATCCACCTCCATGGGCTCTGCACCTCCAGCTACTGTGGAGCTGACAGTGTCATGTCTCACAGGACACCTCTTCCTCTGCTCCTCCTGCAGTTTCTTGCCTGGTTGCCCACCCTGAGTTGGGTAGCCCCTCACTTCGCTGGTCTGGGACCTCTTCCTTACAGACATCATGGCGTTCGAGTGCCCGGACACTCCGCGAATGTGCAACACAAGGCAGTGGGATAACTTCTGGTATCAGGAGGCCACTGTGACATCTAGGCCAGTCACCATATATGTCTGTTCTGGCAGCTGGGGGACCTGTGGCCTTAAAGGTGCCCTACTGTGGGAGAATGAGAAGGTTTTGGTACAGAAAGAGAAAGGTGGGGGGAGGAAGACAGCACAGTTCCCCTCATGACGGTTTCAGGCCTATCACAGGAAGATGGCCTCATAAGATCAGAGTCACCTTAGGATCATAGATTTTACCATACGGTGAACTTAGAAAGCTTTCAGATGACACCTATTTGAGTGGGAGTGTTGACCTGCTCGAGGGTCAGGAGGCTCAGCAGAGGGATCTGGACAGGTTGAATCGATGGGCTGAGGTCAGTTGTATGAGGCCTAAGGCGGCCCAGTGCCTGCACTCGGGTCACAACAACGCGAGGCAAAGCTCCAGGCTTGGGGAAGAGTGGCTGGAAAGCTGCCTGGCAGAAACGGATCTGGGTGTGCTGGTGGACATCTGGCTGAACATGAGCCAGCAGTGTGCCCAGGTGGCCAAGAAGGCCACCAGCACCCTGGCCTGAATCAAAACTAGTGTGTCCAGCAGGAGTAGGGAAGTGATCATGCCCCTGGACTCAGCACTAGGAA